ATTGGCCTTATCATCCTTACACTCAGACTCAAGTCCACACACATCCTGGTTAATGTTTTGGTTTTGTCAACTTGACACAGCTAGTCACCTGGGAAGAGGGAACTCCAACTGAGAGAATGCCTCCATCAGATTGCCTGTGGGAATATTTACTTAATGAGTGATTAATGAGGGATATGCCACCCGGGACAAGTGGTCCTGGGTCATAGAAGAAAGCAGACTGAGTAAGCTATAGGGAGCAAGCCAGTAAGCTGAGTTCCTCCATGGTCTTTGCTTCACTTCCTGCCTCCAGGCTTCTGCCCCTGCTTGAGTTCCTGCCTTGGCTTCCCTCAGCGATGGACTGTGATTGGACCTGTAAGGCAAACAAACCTTTTCCTCCCCAAGCCGGTTCTGGTCAGTGTTTTATCACAGCAACAGAACTAAGACAGCAAAAGTCTACCTCTGTGTTCTTCCCAAGCCCCAGCACCGGTGGCATCAGTACATGCTCATGGGAGGACCAGAAGTCCAGATCCCTGGGGGCGCAGTGTTCCCAGCCTGTTTTAAAAGAAGTTCAGATTTCCAGAGCACATGAAGCATCCCACCCACAGGGCATTGGGCTCTTCAGAAGAAAAGAACAGTGGAAATGAGACTTGTTCTTATGACTTCTCTTGACACCCCCAAGCTCCCTGCATGCTCCTCCTCTGCTCCCTGCCTTCCCACCCTCTCTGAATGCCAAGATATTTGCGTCTCAATAGAATAGAAGCCCCCTCCTCCGCAACTCTCCCAAGCTCTGCCTGGCTTCCCTTCTGAGTTCTCAGCTCTGCCAGGTGTATGCGTGTGCACACAGTCTCTTTATTTAGTGCCCAAAGGATACATCAAGAAGCTAGGCGTGTGTCCCTTGGCTGCACTTGGATATATGGGCCTTCAGCAGACCCCACAGGACTCCACAATAGAGCCTTCTGTTGCCCTGTGACCGAGGGGAATAACAGGTTTTATACAGGCCATCGAACAATGGCACTTTCTCATCTCCTACTGAGCCCTTCTTCTGTCCCGGTCTCTCGTAGAGACCCGTGTTTCTCCATCTACCTGGCACACTAGCTAGGAAATGCTGAGCACAACTTGTGGGCCAGGACCACAGATGGATTCTAAGGCCCATGGCGGATCACTGTGTGCAGAGAGCAATCCTATTCCTGCCTCTTAAGAGCACTGGCTGGCCCCATAGCTGACATTAAAATTAATTACCATGAGCATCAGGGATCCCTCGAGCAGCCTTATTAACTAATTAACTTGCTACATTTGGCATGTTCCCATTCCACATGCAGTCTCTTGCTCTATACCTTCCTGAGAACAATACTGATGGCATCCTCCCACCGCAGCTCACGCCCTGGCAGACCTGTGAGGCTCCCCACTGCCCGTGGAATTAAGAACGAAGCAGGCCAGCTTCTGGGGGGCAAGTTCTCACGCTGTGAGCCTGTGTACAGAATGCCTTTCTAGGCGATGTCAAGTCGACTCTTTTTCTTAAACAATGCTATGAATGAGCACAGGGCTCCATGCGTGCTAGGCTATGTCCTTAGCTGTATTCCCAACCCATGTACCTCCACTCCCAGGAAGCCTCTGGTGATTTACCCCTAGGGCATGCTCATCTAGGCTCATGCTTGGGGTGACCGACCTGTGCACATTCTATTGTATTTGAAAGGATCTGAACCCTTGAAATATTCTTTCTACTTCTGTTTGTGGTCCTGCTGTTCCTACCCAGTAGGTGATCTGTAAATATTTATTGGGTCAAATTTTGAAGAGCCCATCTTTCTCTAGGAAGGGAGGAGAACCTCTGATAGGAAGCCCAGGTTTCCAGGCTCCTGACACGCTGTTCTCAGGGGTTCCTTAATGCCCAGCCTTGTGTGAGAGTTATTGGCCACTTAAGAATTACCCCAGCTCTCTGAACAGCCTAGGGAGGAGAAGGAAATAGCTTTGGAACAGAGGTGCTGAGTGAAGTGAAGGACCACCCTGGAAGAAGATCCTTGCAATAGAACAGAGTTCCATCAAGGAAGCAAATGCTGGGGTGGGACTTCCTGAGAGGCAGAATCTAGAGCAGGAGGAGAGTGGGACCTTACAGTCTGTGCCACCTGCTCAAGCAGCTATGGTGCAGCTGTGGTGTCACCTGCTCACACAGCTGTGGTGTCACCTGCTCACACAGCTGGGCTGAGACTGACAGAAGATGGCTGCCTGTGAGCCTCAGTCAGACCCTGCAGCCCAAGGCAGGAGCTATCAGAAGTCGCACACACAGGAAGGGCACACACCAAGAGGAAGGTCCCACACCAGGAGATGCCTCTTTTAAAATGATTAGGCTGCCTCCTGCCCCTTTGCAGAGGTCTTCCACACTGGATCACCTGGGAAGGTTGGAAAACCTCATCCTTGTGGTTAGCCTGACCAATGTCATTGGAACCTCTATGCGTGGCACACATTAAAACACAAACTAAAGCTCTCAGAGAATCTATCGGTGATGCGCACACACAGCTGAGATGGCCCTTGCTTTATACTCCAGACGGAGAGACCCACCTCGGAGGCAGCATCCCCCAAGCTCTGCCCAACCCCAGCGTCCGCTCTTTGCCACCTTCCACACCTCACCCATGCAGCCACAGGCCCCCGGGAGCTGGCAGGTGCAGGGAATGAGTTGCTGCTCAGGCTGGCCTCAGAAGAACGGTTGCTAAAATTTCCAAAATGTCTGTTATTTTAAAGCTAGTATTCAAAGATAAAGGAATAAATAGCTAGTATAAATAATTGAGTTACTTAAGGTTGCAATTAAATGAATCGTATGAAAAATGAAGTAAGTGTGCGAAAACCATCACTCCCTGATCGTATTGTCTGTGCTCTTTCGTTTCTGTTAGATCTTACAGGGAGGACACAGACCACTCTCTCTTCAAGGAGGATTTATTTGCCGAGACCTCCAGGTATTTATCTCTCGCTGCTCACTTTCCTCCTGTACCTATGATGAAGTTTAACTTCTAAACTGTGTTCAAGAGATTAACCATAACTAATGGGATAATGGGACAATTACAACAACACACCATAATTAAAGTTATTTAAAGCTTATGAATTATTTAGCTCTGGAATTTTCCATTCTTAATTTCAGACTGTGGTTGGACTTTGTTAACTAAACTTGCTGGAAGTCCACGTCTTGTGTCGCGGTGTGCCACCATGTACCTAGCTTCACAGCCGCTACCCTGACACCTGGAAACGAACAACCAGGGAGAGCTTCTGCCACAGATCCAGGTAAACACTACAAATCCTCCAGAGTGAGCTTCAAGAAGCAGGCTGGGCATGCGTGAACATGCAGAGTGTGGATGGAGGTAGAGACCCAGGAAAGGTGCCGCCCACCTGCGGATGACCTCCAGGCAGAGGGCAGACTCTCACAGGGACTGGTCTTGTACCTTCAAAAGGCTTATGGTTCCTTGGACTCAAGAGATTTTTGCCTGGTAAGTGTGACAGGGTATATACAGATAGTGGGCTATGTATATACAGATATTATCTACAAAAGGTTTCTGGACAATGTGTCACTTAGGAACAGCAAGAAACAAAACAGGTCATCTTGATAGCTACCTGAACACGGTGGTCATCGTCACCACCACACCATCATCACCATCATCATCATCACCACCACTAACACCATCATCACCACCACCACCACCATCACCATTATCATCATCACCACCACTAACACCATCATCACCACCGCCACCATCATCATCATCACCACCACTAACACCATCACCACCACCATCATCACCATCATCATTCTCATCTGATGCTATCCCCCAAACCCCCAGAGCTTCAGGCTTTAAACACAGTAGTGGCCTAACTAACAATAACAGATAACAGTTACTAAGCACAGGGCTTTGCACACGTTGGATGATTTCCTTCCCTTTAACCTGCACACCATTGTCTTCATGGACTAGACAGCTAAGTAGAGCAGGGCAGGGAGAAAGAGCTTGTCAAAGGTAAAGCAATGACAAGACTGGAACTCAAACCCAGGCAGGCTGGCTCCAGCAGCTGTCACTCTGCCCCTACCTTGCTAAGTAGGGGGAACTGCGCTGTGCTTCACGAGGACTCAGCGTACAGACTGGGATAAAGCAGACTATTAAAGCCAAGAGGTCTTGTTGAGTGGCCTCAGGCAAGATATACTCGGTCTTCCTCTTGGTTGCTATGAAGAGCTTTTTATTTATTATTTTTTAGGGGACAGCGCTGCATGGACTATGGCCTATGTGTGGAGGTCAGAGGACAACTTTCTGGAGGAGTGGGTTCCCTTCTCCTTCCACCATGTGGGTCCCAGGGATTGAACTCAGATCATCAAGTTCCTTTCCCCATTGAGCCTACGGAAATCTTTCTACAGAGGAGCTCACAAAGGACAGGGAGGGCCCAGCACATGCTCGGCTGCGAGGGTCATGGTGTTACTGCTGGGCACAGAGACCCAGCTGCAGCCCAGCTCTCTGCAGTCACCAGCAGGACAACATGCATAGACCCCCGTGACCTCCGTGCCCACATCTGAAACAGCAGGGAGGTGGGCTGTGAGTTCTGGGTGGTCCCAAGCAACCCAAACATTCTCTGCCTGGAGATAAATCCACGTTGGGGATGATTTAAGTGTCAGAAGAGACTGGATGTTCTTTCAAATCTGTGATTAATGTTTGAAAAAGAACGGAAAAAAATAGTTATTCAAGTCAGGTAGGGAATCATGGAGTCTTTCATTAAGTTAACGGGATTGTCACTGAGGCAGTAGAATCACCAGATGGCCTGATTCAGTCCTTGCTGAGGAGGACCTTTAAGGAAAGCATATCTCTACCGGAAAGGTCTTGACAGAAAGCAGCAGACACAGCTCGGTGGCACTGCCTAGCCAAGGCCAGGCTTGAAGCATCCTTTAGGGCCCATCGTCTTTACTAGTTCTAAAGGCATCATGGGATAGGATGCGGCACTCAAGGGAACCATAGATAAGCGTGTTTAGAGAGGCACCGTGGGAGTTACCCTGAAATTACAGCCTCCGAAGCTTCTAGCGTGAAGGAATTGTGGGATAGGGCCGCTGGCACACCAGGGCTTGCCCTGGAGGCAGCAAAGAATCAACGGGTTTGTCAGAAGAAGCTCTTTCAGTGAAAGCCCATGGAGCTATAGTTCTCACCCTTCCTAACTCTGCAACCCTTCAATCCAGCCCCTCACATTGTGGTGACCCCCACACCATAAAAATATTTTGTTGCTATTTTCTAACTATGATTTTGCTACTGTTATGAATCATAATGTAAATATCTGATATGCAGTGTATCTGACACGAGACTCCTATGAAAGGGTCATTTGACACCCTCCCCAAAGGGATTGAGACCTACAACTTGAGAGCCACTGCTGTAGAGGGGTAAGAAAAAATAAGAGATCAATGTAGAAAGCCATACCTCATGACAGACAGCTAGAAAGTGGAAAAACCACTGCTGGCCTTGGCCCCAAAGATGAATTTGAAATAAATCTTAAGTATTTACATGAGAGCCAGGCCTAGTGCTGTAGACTTGTAATGCCAGCATTTGGGAGGCCAAGGCAGGAGCATCAAAAGTTCCAGGACAGCCTAGCCTCCAGCCTGAGCTCAAGGTCAGCCCAGGTAGCTTCATGAGACTGTTTCCCAAATATAAAGAAAATCTAAATGCAAGGCTGGGATCCCTCTAGGGTAACCCCCCGACTCCCATTTTGTCTTTCTTTCCTGGGGTTCCTATAAAACCTGGCACATGCCTGTGAGTACTCAACATCTTTTCCAAGTAAAGAAGGAGTCAAGCCCCATGGCCAGCTAATCCAACACGCCTGGCTTGCCTTTGGGAAACTACTACGCTTTGTAAACCAGCTTTGATTGGTCCCGTCTGCAGACAGGCCGGATGGAAACTAGAGCCCCAGACTCTGGGGGCAGCGACTTCCACATGCACTGTTCCTGAAAATAATGGTAACAGGAGAGCCCCTCAGTGCCCTGCTTCTTCTGCAGGAAAACAACTCGAATTTTATATAAGATATACTGTGTTCTGTAGACGCTGGTGATTTTCATCCTGCAGCCTGCTCAGTTTGCAGAAGAAAGTATGTATAAAAATCAGGTGGCTAGTGTACACTACCAAGTGTAGTCACATACTGCCCTGCCAGATTCTGCTAGGTATGCCCACTCAGTGTCAATCCCTTCTTCCTGGAAAGCCAAGCACTCCCCCCTCCTCTTCAGATTATTTTTCCCAAGCAGCTTTCAACCAAGCTGCTTGCTCCAAACATACACATTTTCATATTCTCTTTCTCCCTCAGTCTGGCCCCACCCATAGCAGGTGGGCTAATTCTCAGCCATCCACTTCTCCAGCCCCACCACTTGCCAGTCTGTTGTTATAGCAGAAAGGCCTTGAAAGCCAAGAAGAAAGGCCTTGAAAGCCAAGAAGTAAACATTGGCTAGGTGAGGTTCCTTGAAGTCCCCAGATCTGGAGGGCGGAGCCTCAGCATTCAGGCAGGTGTGTGCAGGAGGGAGGAGGAGGAGGGCTCTGACCCACAAGCTCAGGTGTGTCAGGGTGCCTGGTGGCTTACCCGGGCATGAGGGCTGGGGGCACGAAGGCGGCATTGAATTCGGTCATTAGTGTGCCCGCGCTACGGAAGGCCATGGTGGGTGATGTGAGCCCCGGCACTGTGGCTCGGCTCAGTCCTGCGGTAAACAGCCTGCTGGTCACCCGGCAACCACATGCCTAGCAACCCAGAGTTCGTTCTGGGACAGTGAATCCTTTTTGCTGTGTGCTCCCTAGACCTTCTCTGTCTCGCAGCCCGGAAAAGAGGCTGCCCCATCCTCACAAGGTTACTGTGTGGCTCCCCTAAGTGTCCCTGGCATCCAGCTTAGATGTTCATGTCTTCCGTGCTCAGATATGGTCCAGAGATGAAAAAGCTGGCTCGATCCTAAAGAGGCTCTCGGTGATCTCTTTTGGATCACTAGGGCTCCCTCCACCCACGGAGCTCCAGGAAGCGGCTGTGGTGGACCTCCCTTCATGTGTGGCGTTCCGCCCATGTCATTTCAATGTTCGCGAATGTTCTCATTAGTCTCTCCTTTCTCCCCGTGAACTTCCTTTTTCCCACGTTCCTCAAATGAGGGGTGGGGGTGGGGGTGGGGAGCTGTGTTGGATGACTCTTGCCTGTAATCCCATCTTCAGAGACTGGGGCAGGGGGATTGCTAGTTTGAGGATAGCCTGGATGACTTGGTGAGACACTTTCTGGGGCAAAGGAGGGACAGAAGGAGGAGAAGGGAGTTATGTCTGTTACAGTTCGAGTCTAGAATATCCCTCACACGGTCATATTATGAGCCTTGATCCCTGGTGGGTATTACCTTTAAGACAAAGAATCTTATAGGAGATAGCCCTGGCTGGTGCCAGCAGGTTACTAGGGGCCACCCTTGGAAAGTTATGTCTTGGTTCTGGCTTTGCTGTTTCCTGATCATTGAGATATGGACGGAGCTATTTTTCCATGCTTCCCCAGGAGGATGGATTGAAATCTTTATCTTACATAAAGATTGGCTCCCATGAGTTGTTTAGTGCGCTATTTTGTCAGGGTGGCGTAGAAGTAACTAGGACAGTGTGTGGTTTACATTTGCCTCAGGTACTGCAGTTCATTCTGCCCAGAGATCTGTAATGTAGACTTTCCCTTCAGTCATCAAAGCCCCGAAGTCCACTTGAGGTTTGCTTTACATAAACTGTCTCCCTCCACAAAGCTTTTCCACTCCTAGGCAAATCTGGGTCCTGTCGAGCAGCCAGTCGATATTAACCATCATGTGGCAGATCTCTCTTCAGCTATCCTGCAGGGAGGCACACCACCCGCACAGCTGGACCTTGTAAATGGCAGCCGATGAAGACCACAGTCGATAATGAACTCACAGAATGCCGCTGCAATCAGAACTCTCCAGGGATGTCCTCTAACAGATGCCAGCGATTCTGGGCTGTGGGGAGCACATGCTTGCAACAGGCGTGCGCGCGCGCGCGCACACACACACACACACACACATATACACACACACAGACACACAGTCAGAATGACTGAAGCTTAGCGGGCCCAGAAGCCACAGGTGTGGTAGTGGTTACAAATCAATGAAGAAAATATGCAGTCATATCTACCATTTCCCAAGTCGCCTGGGGGCACATTTGCTTTACTAAGAAAAATATTAGGCAATGTTGTTTTTAAAGGGTGACCATGGCTCTAATGTGACGGACTCCAGGAGGACCCCACTCTACAAGGTGAAGCGCTCCCTTCCTCTCCATTCATAGCCTCCCAGTTGGCCCAGTTTGTGGACCCATTGGCCTCCTGTACTGCTCTGAACCACAAGCCCTCTGCCTTTTCTGCATGGACTCTGAACTGGTATCTGGTATGGCTTCGAGGAAGGGTCAGCTGGTAGAGTCGTGCTATGCTATTTGGAATCGCCATCATCTTTGAGATGGGGAAACTGAGGTTTGGCAAAGCTTTTAGGGCTGCTTTGTAGGATTCCCTTCAACATGTGCAGGGCTGTAAGAGGTGTAAATTCACCTTTAACAGCAGAGAACAACCAGGGGATCCTCAGGAAGGGGGTCTTCTAAGTACCACCGAGCCTTACAGATGAAGATGAATTTGTGTCATTTTAAAGGAACATTAACCTTAGTTTTAAATTTTTAAAGATATTTCTTGCATTCAATATATGCATTTTTGAAGAACTTTCTAACTCAAAATAGTTATAAATATATGTCAGAAAGGTGAGCAGAAACTGAGGAGAGAGAGGAGAAAGAAAGTAAGTACAGAGAAAAACTAAGGCTAAAAACACGGAACAATTAGGAGACGGGGAAGGCTCTTGAATGTCTGAGTTACTCCACTGAGGGATTCTGAGGGGTGACGCCATGGTGTGAAAGTTTAGAACCTTCTCTCTTTAAACTTTCAAACATAGTCATTATAGTTACCTACCTATCTGTCTGTCCTGTCTGTCTGTCTGCCTACCTACCTACCTATCATTTGTGTGGAGAAGGCACATGATGTTCTCTCCCTCTCTCTCTCTCTCTCTCTCTCTGTCTCTCTCTCTCTGTCTCTCTCTCTCTCTCTCTCTCTCTGTGTGTGTGTGTGTGTGTGTGTGTGTGTGTGTGTGTGTGTGTGTACTATAGCTCACAGAAGAGCAGTTTATCTTTCCCTACCACATGTGTCCCAGGGATCACACTCTAGTTATCAGGCTGAGCAGCAGGAGCCTGCTGAGCCGTCCTGTCAGCCCAAAGCCTGTCAGCTTTTAGGCCCTGAGCTTCCAAGCCCTGTTAGTATAGTTGGACATCTTGCCACGTCTTGAACAAGATGCCCTGTGAAGATCTCGGGTGAAAGGGGTCATCAGGGGGAGATCCGTGTGCAGAAACCCCAGGCCAGTGATACCTGGATCAGGAGCCACTCAAAGGAGGAGGGGGTTCCAAAGCCCTCCTGAGTGCAGATGCAGAGTCAACCCTGGGAATGAGCCCCTGATGAGCCAGGCCAGGAGGCAGGGGCAAGACAGGGGACACCCTTCCAAGAGTGAGCCACAAGAGCAAAAGTATGTAGTCCCGGGGTCAATGGACCCAGCCCCCAGTGCCCCTTTCCTACAAGCCCTTCCTGAAAGAGCAGATGGGCAGTCTTCTGTTGTTCCCTGGATATTCCTCTACAGGTAATCCCTCTGCAACCTCTAGAAGCTGATTAGAGCAGGAAGCAAGATGGCTCTCCTCCCACTGGAAACCACCCATCAACTGTGTCACCTCCTCCAGTTCTTTGTCCCTAGACTGGGATGGGTAGGTTAGTGTCCTGACTCTTACACACTTCCTAGCTAGCACAGAAGTCCCATAACCCCTCATTAGAGCATCTCTAGTCACAATCCCTCATTTCAGGACCAGCTGTCTGAAATTCAAAACTATGGTCCCAGGACAGAGCACCAGAACCTAGCATCTAGCATCCCAGGGGCACAAACAGTGCAGGGGTTCAGGGCCAGGCAGTCAGTGCACTGTTACTTCTAGTGCTTGGATTTAACAGGGGTTAGCCCTTGGGAACCTCCTCTAAGCTGCCTAATAGAAGCTGCTTTCCAGACTCTGGGGGGGGGATGTGTGTTTATCGAGGCTCTAGATGATTTCTCCCAACCCATGTGTGTGTGTGTGTGTGTGTGTGTGTGTGTCCAGACTCTAGGTGATTCTCACTGTCTCTGTCTCTCTGTCTTTGTCTCTGTCTGACTGTCTCTCTCTCTGTCTCTGTCTCTGTCTCTCTCTCTGTCTGTCTCTCTCTCTCTCTCTCTGTCTCTGTCTCTCTGTCCCTCTCTCTGTCTCTCTCTCTCTGTCTCTCTCTCTCTCTCTCTCTCTGTGTGTGTGTGTGTGTGTGTGTGTGTGTGTGTGTGTGTGTGTGTAGTGAGTAGGTATACAGATGTGTTTGTGTTTATGTGTGGAAACCTGAGGTCAACCTCAGTTGTCTTCTTTATTTATTTATGTATTTACTTATTCAACTTATTTATTTAAAGACAGATCTCTTTGCCGAACCTGGAGCTTATCGATTCAGATAGCTTGGCTGGCCATTAAACTCCAGGGATTCTCCTGTTTCCACTCTTCTGTCACCCCAGAGCTGGGTTAGAAGCCCTTGCCCCGGCACCTACCTTTGACATAGGCTCTGGAATCCGAACTCAGATCCTCATGTGTGGCAGACACTTTATCCACTGAGGCACCTCCCTTCCCCCTGGTTGAGACACAGCATGATTTATCCAGAGCAGTCAGGCCTGTCCTGTCCATGTTCTCCAACACGGGGGAGCCTTCTGCGCATCCACAGCCCTGTGATTAGCTAGACAGAACAGGAGATACCATGGATACTTCCCAAGAGACCAATGCCCCATCCACGCTCAGATCATGAAACTCCAGATCCCCGTGAGCAGTGCTCTGACCCCACTCCTCATCCTCATGCCCTCTGCAGTCTCTTGGCTCTGAGTGGCATAGCTTGCTCAGCCCTGCCAAGTGGCAGGGGCTTCCATTCAAAGAGCTGGGAGAAGACACCTGAAGCTGGACAGGGCTTTATCTAGGGGCTGGTGCTGCTGAATAATGAATTTATTGTGCATTCCTGGGCTACTAGCTGTGTGAACAACACACACACACATGCACACACACACACACACACACACACACACTACACACACACTGGGCTGACAACTCAGAGGGGCGGGGCTGCCAGGGCTGCACGGCTCTGATGAGCTGAAAGAGCAGCTTGCTTTGGTTGCCTTGGTCTCTGTGGGCAGCAGCAGGAGGAGGCAGAAGCAGCCAGAGAAGAGAGAGGCGTGTGAGCCACACTCCACCAGCAAGAGCTTCTTCCCGCTGCTCTGGCACTGCCCAGACTCTCCCCATCAGCATGGCCCTGATCGTCCACCTCAAGACTGTCTCAGAGCTTCGAGGCAGAGGTGACCGGATCGCCAAAGTCACTTTCCGAGGTAAGGAAGCCCGTGTCTCAGGAGAACACCAGTTCTGTAAGCTGGCTCAGCCCATATTCTGTGAGCCGATAGGGACGGGAGAGGACTGGGAGGAGGGATGGCAAACTTCTAGCAGGCACCGTGGCTACACGGCTTCTTAAGAGTGGCCACCTGCCCCTGGCCTGACCAGCCTTTAGGTTTCATATGATTCCCCCT